CAGAGTATAAGGGCTCTAGTGGGGGGAGGGAGGCTGTGGGAGGGTGCTATCTGGGAAGTGGGTGTAAAAATTAAAAAAACATAAAAAAAATAGAATTATTTTTATATTGTGATGAAGGTGTTTGCATAATAGACTGATTAGATTGTAAAATAATTTTTAAACAGAAGGGCCTGATAGAAGCATGGTTTGGCATTTCATTTTCCCCTTCCCTTTCTTCATACACCCTCTTTCCGCCAGTGCAAATACTGCAAATTCGATGTGGGAAAAAGAACATCAAGTGTTTTAAGAAACATTTGACCACACATTCCTTTAGTCCTAACCTTTTACAGTAACAACAGGAATGTACTGAGAATGAATTATGGGTCAAAGCATGACATTCTGAGCTATTTACAATTTATATGCACTTTTTTTTTGTTGTTATTGTTTGTTTTGTTTTTGAGACAGGGTTTCCCTGTACCTCCAGCTGGTCTGAAACTCACTATGTAGATCAGGCTGTCCCTGAACTCACAGAGATCTGCCTGCTTCTGCCTCCTGAGTGCTGGATAAAAGGCATGCACCACCATGCCCAGCTATATGCACTTTAAAAAACTTTTTTACAAGTATTTGTTTGTTTATTAATTGGAGGTGGAGAAGCATATGCCACACAGTGTACTTGTGGAAGTTGGCTATCTCCTTCCACCATTTGGGTTCCAGGGCTCAAACTCAGATTACCAGGTTTGGTGGAAAGCATCCTTATCTGCTGAGCCACCACTGGACCTAACTTTTTTTTTTTTTGGTCTTTTTGAGACAGGGTCTCCCTGTAGCCCCAGCTGTCCTGGAACTTACTATGTAAACCAGGCTGGCCTCAAACTCACAGAGATCTGCCTGCCTCTGCCTCCTGAGTGCTGAGATTAAAGGCATGAGCCACCATGCCTGGCTGGACCTAACATTTTTAAAATAAGACTTCATAGGGGCTGGAGGGATGCTTCAGGTATCAAGAGCACCGGCTGCTCTCCCAGAGGACCTGAGTTCAGTTTCCAGTACCCACAATAGCAGCTAACATCCACTGGGAACTCCAGTTCCAGGAGACTTGACATCTTCTGGCCTCTTGAGGCATTGTGCAACATGGGTGCACTTACATACATATAGGCAAAACACTCATACACATAAAAAATAAATAAAAATGAAAAAAAAAAGACTCCATAGTTGTAGGGAATATAGGTGTAACATCCAAAGATAGATAAGAAAAATAATTTAAAATGGAATAAATTAAAAGATAAGAAAGCTGAAGCTCCTGTGTTAAGTATGGAATTTGCTACTTCAACTAACAGGAGGGCCACAAAATATACAGGCATGGTGAGTTTA